CAACTTCGACGACGTCGTCGTCGCAGGGAAGACGAGCGATGAGGGAGAGGGGGGATGGCCTTGCTTCCCGCGTGAGGAGGAAGAGGAGCAGGAGGAGGAGGAGTAGTGCAGGAAGATGACCAGGAGGAGAAGGAGTAGGAATATGAAGAAGGAGGGGGCGACGAGCAGGAGGAGGAGGAGGAGGAGGAGGAGGAGGGGGAGGAGGTGGACCAGGAGGACGAGATTCTCGAACGGTCCTTGCACCTCGATCCTCGATCCTCGACGGAGCAGGGCGAGGACGAGCCGGGTCGGACAAGGTGTGGGGTTAGCACAGGGGGGCTTAGCGGATCAGCTGACGTGGCTGGTTTTCCCGGCGTTGGAGGCGGCCATGTATCGAGGAGAGTGTCAGGCGGCGGGGTCGAAACAGCTGCATGCGGCAGATTTCGTGCCACCTCCCTTTCCCTAAACCCTGCCCCCTTTTACGTTTCACCTTCGGAGGACCTCGTCGGTCCTCAAGATTGGTGTCTTTTCTTGCGCCCCACGCGGGCTTGAAGCGGACGCGACGCGGACTTGGCGTGGATTCGACGCGGATTCGACGTGGATTCGACGCGAATTCGACGAGCCCGACATGGATTCGACACGGATTCGACGCGGATGGGGGCGCGACGGGACAGACAAGGTCTTTTTTCAGATGCAACATGCAGTCAACCCTGATTGATGGGTCGACCATGCCAAATCGAGGGTACCCGTGTGTCCTGTCTATCCCGACCTATGCAGCCATGTCCTCTGGTGTTGGGCCACGTTGCCGTCGGAGGAGTTGTGTCCTCTCAGGCGTCCTGCCCGACCGAGTCCGACTGGGCCCCCCCATCGTCAGACCCGAACGGTCCTCGTCGTCAGGCTCTCGGGCCATGCCTCGTGCCTCCGCCGGCCGCTCCCCGGAGCGCCCTCGGCCAGGCGAAGTTACTGGAGAGCACCCTCCACGCTGGAGAGCCGCAGAGGGACGTCGCCCGACGTTCTCGGGCCTCGAGCACCTCCCAGATTTGTTTTGTTTCCGTTGCGGCACGGCAGAGGCACACCGCACGGGCGCTCGAGTTGTCGGGGGCATTCGACCAACTGCTTGTCTGGCAGGTCGCGCGAGGAGGAGATGCGGCCGCGGAGGGCAGGAGGGAGGGCTAGGGCCCTCGCGGCTGAAAGAGTTTCAGGATGAGCGCGGCGGGGCGGCCAGCCGCGGCCGAGGTGACCTGGCAGCGGACGCGGGACAGGCAGGCAATGTCTTGTTCTTTTCCATGTGCGGTCCCCAGAAGACCTGACCCCTTCCCCATGGCCGATTGTTCACCCCGTGTCATGTTTAGACGGCCCCGCGGCACCGCGAGGGCCCCCAGAGGCCGACGTCGACGACACAAAACCTCCGTCCTGATTGGTTCAAGACGCTGCATGTCTGGGGTACGACCCCAGGAGCACCAGCAGTAGGATCACCTCTCTTTTCCTCCTCCTCCTCCTCCATCTCTTCTTTCTCCTCCTCCTACTCCTACTCCTCCTCCTCCTCCTTCTCCTCCTCCTCCTCCTCCTCCTCCTCCATTCCTTCTCCTTATAGATAATTCTTCCCTGTCGCACCCCGAGGCCAGTCGACATAGCGGGCCGGGCGTTTCGCCTGAGGTTGGCTCACCATAGTATCATCCTGAAGTTGAAGAATCGGCAACAGCTTCACAGATGGAGGACGGGTGGTTTTCAAAATGTGGTTCTCGCCTTAACGCCGCGCACACCCGATTGAAAAAATGCCAGAGCGTCACGACTTGAGGGCGGGTGGTTTTCAAAATGTGGCTCCCGCTTCAGCGCTGCGCACATGTGTTTCAAACACGTGCAAGAGCTTCACGGATTGAGGGCGTGTTGTTGTCATGATGTGGTTCTCGGTGTAGGACCGCGCACATTCGTGTTGAAACAACGCAAGAGCTTCACGGATTGAGGGCGGGACGTGTTCAAAATGTGGTGCTCGCTTTAGCGCCGCGCACATCCGACTTAAACAATTCCAAGAGTTTTGTTGATGATTGAGGGCGGATCGTTTTCAAAATGTGGTTCTCGCTGTAGTGCCGCGCACACTCGTTGAAACAACTTGCATGAGCTTCACAGATTGAGGACAGGTCGTTCTCAATGTGTGGCTCTTGCCTTAGCGCCGCGCGCACTCGCTGAACAACAGCTGGAAGAGTTTCACGGGTCGGGGGCGGGTGATGTTCAGAGTGTGGCTCCTCTCTCTCTAGCGCCGTGCGCAGTCGTTCCAACACACTGCGAGGCAGTTGCGGATGGAAGGCAGGCCGATTTCAGTACGTAGTTCTCGCTGTAGCGCCGCGCACAGTCTTCCCAAAAGACTGGCAACAGCTTCACTGCTTGAGGGCGATTCGGTTTCACACGGTGGATCTCGCCTTGGCGCCGCGCACATTCGGTTTAAACAGTTGCAGGGAGCGTCTTTGGTTCTCATGGATAGCGTGCCAGAATTGGGCGCTGGAGCGATTCAGGATTGTCAGGGCGCAACAGTTACGGTGATTCGCGGTTCTCTCGTCCCAGGAACGGTGTTCTGGCACGGCTCAGGATCGCCAGTACGTAACAGTCAGTTTAATTCATGGCGTTGAAATCCTGAGACTCGTGTTTTGGTACGCTTCGGGATTTTCACACAATTGTCCTCCAGCGGGGCAATTCCCACAGTGGTAATGAATGCTTCTACGAGCCTATGAAGAGGGAGCTTGGAGGGAGTGTGTATTCCACGATCGCTTATCCATCAGGCTAGTCACCATGTCGTCCCCACCGTCTTGTCGTCTCCCCCCTTCCACGGGTCGCCTGGGAACATAGCTACCCCGCCCCCAGGTGGTCCATCCTTGCCTTTGTGGTTCCTTACTTTTACGCCTGCTGGACCTCGTTTGATCAACCCCCTTTGGGGCAACGGGCCCCTGGGGGGAGGATGGCTGCATCGTAGCCGACGCTGGGGCAAGCAACGTCAGCACCATCAGGGGCAACAAGAAGGGGGGGTGGATTCAAAGGGGGACGCGTCGACCCGCATGCGCCCAAGAGGGCTTGACGGCCCACCAAGCCCAGGAACGTGCGGTTCCGCTGCCGGAGGCCTATCGCCGATCCATCAGAGATGTGTCGCCGATTCCGGGTCGATGGTCCCCACCCCTTTGTACCCGTGCCCCCCTTGCTGCTGCCGCTGCCCCCTCACACCAGCTGGTCCCCTGCCGTCCATTTCCGCCGCTTTACACATCTGGAGCGGTTCCGCTAGGACCGCGCACCCCACCCCCCCGAGGGTTGACGCAGGCGTCGCAGCTCGCTTCTGCGCGCGAGCCCAAGCTGCAGGCGGAGGAGAAGAGGGAGCCAACTGCAGAATCGGGAAACAGTGGAAGCAGAAGGATTCCGGCGCACGGCGTGCGTCCGCGAGGCGCCCTGGCCGCCGCGGGCTCCCGCGTCGCCTCGGGCGGCCCCGCCGCCACGAGGGGCCTCCGCAAGGGCGGCGCGGGCCGCGGGGCTGCGGCCGGATAGGCCCTGGGCGGCGCGCGACGGCGAGCGGCGACGGACGCAACGAACGATAGCGGCGGACGACAACGAACGTCGGCGGCGACGACGACGACGACGACAACGATGACGGACGACGGCGGCGACGACGGCGATGACGGCGATGACGGCGACGACGACTGCGGCGACAACGACGACAATGACGAACGACGGCGAGGACGGCGATGACGGACGACGACGACGACGTCGACGACGGCGGCGACGGACGTCGAAGACGGCGACGGCGACGACGACGACGATTGCGACGACGGCGGCGACGACGGCGACGGCGGCGACGACGGCGATGGCGACGGCGACGATGACGGCGACGACGTCGACGCTGACGGACGACGACGTCGACGACGACGACGACGATTGCGACGACGGCGGCGACGACGGCGACGGCGGCGACGGCGGCGACGGCGACGGCGACGATGACGGCGACGACGTCGACGCTGACGGACGACGACGACGACAACGACGACGACGACGACGACGACGACGACGACGACGACGACGACGACGACGACGACGACTACGACGGCGACACCGACTGACGACGAACGTTGGCGGCGACGGCTGCACTGGCGACGGTCGACGACGACGATGACAACGACGACGAAGACGACGACGATGACGACGACGACGATGACGGCGACGACAATGGACGACGGACGGCCAACGATGACGACGACCACAACGACGACAGACGATAACGACGACGACGACTACGACGACGACGTAGACTTCGACGACATCGACGGACGACGATGACGACAACGGCAAAAACGACAGGCGATAATGACGACAACGACGTCGGACGACGACGACTACGACGACGACGAAGACTGCGACAACGACGAACGACGACGACGACGTCGACGACGACAACGACAGTCGACGACGACGATGGCGACGAAGGCGACGACGAAGACGTCGGACAACGACGACGACGACGGCGACAGACGTTGACGATGGATGACGTGACAACGACGACGACGGCGTTGGCGACGGCGACGGTGACGACGACGACGACGTTGACGACGACTTCGAATTTGACGACGGCGACAATGACGACGGTGGCGACGACGACCAAGATAGACGACGACGATGGACGACGACGGACGACGAAAGAAGACCACGGAGGCCAACGACGACGACGAAGGTATTTGGCGGCCTTCAGATGGAGGGCGGAGGCTCCAGTGGAAGCCTGGCAGGGAGAGGAGGAGGAGGAGAAGGGCGAGTAAGCACAGAGCAGGGGCAGCGGGAGGACGAGACGGAGCAGGGGGCGAGGCGGGAGCAGACGGAGGAGGCGGGAGGCAGTCTCTGCCCCCCTCGTCCTCTCGTGGCCCGGCCACCTTCCTGCCTGCAGCTTCGATCGCGTGTGGACTTCCACTCGGGGGCCGTGCGCCTGGGAGTCCTCCTCGGCGTTCGGGCCTGCCTCTTCTCGAACCTCCTCCTGGCCGTCGTCGCGGTCGCCGCGCAGCCGTCCGGCTCAGTGCCGTGCAGGCTTCGCCGGGCGGCCTTCGCGCCATGCGGGCGGCCTGCCGGTCTGCTACGTAGTTCTTTATGCTCCAGCACCGTCGACGAGGCCTCCGGCGAGTCACCGCCGCCTGTTGGCCCTGCGGCCGAGCAGCCCATGCGGGGGACGTTGGACTGGTCTCGAGGCTTCCTTCCCCCCCTGGTCCCTGACGTCACCTTTCTTCACAACGCCGACCCTCTGAGGTCCCTCGACCCGTTTCCTCGGACCGGTTCTTCATCCCGAGTCTGTTTCTGTTACGCCCCCGAGGCCCGGGAAGGGCCCCTGGAGGCCGAAAACAGCGAAGAGCCTCCCGTCATGAGTTTGTTCATGACCCGAACGGGGTCCAGGCCCTCTGGGCCCTCTGGGCGACCTCCCCCTCGGGCCGTGCCGGGGCCCTCCCGGGGCCACCCCCTGGGCCGTCTCGGGGGCCTCCTCGGTGGGCTGCTGGGCAGCCGCCCGCGGTCGCCTCGTGGGGGCCCCCTTTGGGCGGCCGCGTGGCTTGCGCCACAGGGCCTGCGCCCCGGGTTCGGCTGGCACCGCACAGCTGGCCCCACGGCTGCTGCACTGAGGTAGCTCACTCCTCCGCCCAGCTGCCGCACGCACTGCACCGCATGCCTCAGAGCATCCAGCTCACACCGCACAGCAGCTTGCCCCGAGCAGCGTACTGATAGCTTCCACCACGTAGTTTGCACCGCACGGCGTGCATTACAACGTTTACTTCACATGGCTCCCATCATGTGGTACAGGCGATGCGCTGTGTGATGCCTGGTGCGCATGGTGAACCTTGGTGACGAAAGCCGTGCGTTGCAAGCCATGTGATGCAAGCGATGTGATGCAATCTGTGCGATCCAATCTACGTGATGCAAGCCATGGTGGTGCACCTAGCGCGACGGGCGCACAGCAGGCGAAGCCCTGTCATGCCCAGCCAGCGCACGGGGCGCCTACGAGGCGCCCACGGGCGGGCACGGGGCGAGCCTTCGTCAGACCCCCCGGCTGCACAGGGCGCCCACGAAGCGCCCACTGGCGACCACCAACCATGCACCAGGCGAAATCCCGGCAAACCCATTCAATTGTAGAGGTAGCATATACCGGTCCTGGCATTCAAGCACTGTTTGGGCATGCGCATAGTTGCAAGCATGCATGAGCACATCTCGAACTCGCCGTTCATGCACATGCAACTGTACAGTGTGTGTGTTCTTAAATGCATATATTTTGGCATCCCTATCGGTATCATCATCTATCCCACAGGACAAACACGGAACATGCCACGGGACAATCCGCGAGACAATTACGGGACATCTATAGGACCACCCACAGATTTGACGGAAGAGCCACGGACGTCTTTCTGGACAATGTTTTCGACAGCCCTTGTGTCAATTCAAGGAACAATCTCGGTACAACCAGTGGGACAAGACACGGGATAGCCACGGGACAACCCATTGGACAGTCACGGCGCAACCAACGGGACATCCACAGGACACCCTTTCGGGGCAACCACGTGACAACCACGGGACAACCACGAGACACTTACGGGGCAACCTGAATGGCATCGACGGAACAACCACGGTGGAATTTGCTGGAGAACCCATGGGACAACATTGGACAACCCACGGGACGACCCGCGGAACAACCACGCGGGACAACCAACGCGACAACCCACGGGGCCGTTGCGAGACAACCGCGGGAAAGCACTGGTCAACCAACAATCACAGGACACCCAACGGGTCAACCACGGAACTACCATGGGAAACTTCCCCGCACAACGCGCGTGACATCCATGGGACCACCCATGGGGCAAACACAGGACATTCCCAGGGACAACCCCGCGGGCCCACGCGAGACGGACGCATATCTTTGGCCGGTTTGCCTTGGCTGCGGCCGGCATATCATGGCATATCATGGCCCTCTCGCAGCTTCGCCTCGCACGCACGAGACGCACCGAAACCGATTCTTCAGTTGGGGTCACTGCATTCCGTCACCATCATACATTCGACCAAGGACCAACAAGGAATTGAGGACGCCCCACGATGTGACAGAGGCACGGTCGCGGATGTACAGCCGCCATGATCGCCGCCGCGGGTGTCCTTCTCTTGGTATTGGGGCTGCCTCGGGCTTGCTGCCTCGCCCCTGCCTGCGAGAGCGACTCTGGCCAATGCGATTCCCAGCTCATCCAGACCAAAGCTCAGGCTGAGCAGCAGGTGCGCTTCTCCGGGCGGCGCAGCCTCGCGCCGCAGGAGTGTTTCAGTAAGTTCACGGGCAGCAGTACGTACACTGTCGTCCTGGTGTTTTCAGGGCGTCGCAGCCTCATGCCGCTGCTTTTGCGCTATCTGGACAGGATGGTCCAGCAGTGCTCGGTCCACGAGGTGCACTTGTGGGATTACACGGACTATCGGGGCATGAGTGGGGATGATGACCATGATTGGCTCAGGGACGCCAGCGAAAAGCGCAATGGCACCGAGTTTCAGATCATGACCCACGGATTTGAGTTGCATGCGTGGGCCGATGTGTACGAGTTCTACTCCTCCGAGAAGCTGGGCTTCGAACGCCCTCGATGGTCGCCGCGGTCCGAGTTGGCAACGCGGGGTAACACAGTGTTGGTGAAGGCAGATGACGACATTGTCTATATAGATACATCCCGATTTGATTCTTACGTGGAATACATTCGCACGCACCGCGAGAAGTTCATTGTCCACGCCAACATTGTGAACAACGCGGTTGCCGCCTACTACCAGGCCAACCACATTGAGGAGCTAAAAAAACAGATCCCCGAGCTCGGCGAGTATCCGAGAGAAGGTGGAAATGGCCACCTGGGCCTATTCGGTCCGCTTCTCACTGGAGGCGGCCCCAGCCTGCACAAGTACTTCCTGCGCCACCGCGAGGACTTCTCGTGGTCCGAGGGGGACGGGTGCATCGCCTACGGCAAGGAAGATGCGGCCAGGCACGGCCAGGTTGGGCAGGGCCGCTTCTCGATCAATTTCTTCGGTGCGCGATGGGCAGAGTGGGACAATGTGCATCGATTGTCTCTGGACCCAGACGGGGACGAGATCGGCATCACAACCCACGGCTCCGCAGAAGGTCGAGACCAGTGCATATTCACTGCCCTCAATGTCTGCCACTTCGGCTTCATGAAGCAGGATATGCCCAGAGACATTTACACTGCCTACGAGCGTCTCTTGGCTCAGTCAGGGGCTTAGCGGGTCGATGACGTGTTCGGTCGTGGCTTGGCAGCGCAGCATTCACGGGCGTTTCTGGAAAGAATGCCGCCACTCCTTGTCACCCTCCTTGCCCCTCTCTTCCCCTCACCGACTCTCCTGGTACTGGGTCTAGTTGACGCATGGATTCGAAGGTTGTCGCGGTCGGCTCCGTTGAGCTGGGATGCTAGATTGTTCTTGAAACGCATGTGCTGTCGGTTGGAGATCGACTCCCGCCGGATCATTACGTCATTGCCTCCGAGGCGGCTCAGCAGCTAGGACTCGTTGCGTACCACCTCGCTGAAGCATGCGCATCTCTCGAGTCTCGAGTCCAGGCTCTCGCCTAGACGCGGGCTTCACTCTTTATCCAAAGGATGCCGCCTCTGCCGCTGACCCCAATTCAGCGACGTATGCTTAGTTCGTTTTCTGTCGCAACACACTTCCGAGTTCCAATGGTAGAGCCACCTGAGGGTATTTCAATTTGCTTTTGCTGGGGATCTGGGGGGTTGGCAGTGACTCGGACTAGTGGTCGGTAGGGTGGGCGAGGGGGCGTATACTACTCAGGAGCAGCGATAAATCCATCCCCGAAGCGGAAATGGGGTTGGACAAGGCATCGCGATTGACCACCTCCTGCCCAGAAGGCGGGTGGCATCTAGCAAACCCCATGCGAGAGGTTGTCCGGGTGGGAATCGGAGCCATCTTCGCAATTCTGGGCCCCGGGATGCCGCCTGCGAGGTGGTCTTGCCGAGCTCGCCTGAGGCATCGTTGCACTTGTGGGCTTCGAGATGCGCGCGAGAGGTGGTCCAGCCCGTTTCGCTTCAGGCATCGTTGCCGCTGCCCTGAGACGGTCCAGCCAGTTTCGCTTGAGACATCCTCGCAACTTGCAACTGCGGGTTCCGAGACACGCGAGAGGTTCTGCAAGGCTTTCCCTCAGGCATGCTCGCAACTCAGGGCCCATGGACGCCCTGACCTGAGGTGGTCCAGCCACTTTCGCTTCACACTTCGTCACAACTCTGGGCACGGAGATGACCTGGCCTCAGGTCGTCCAGCCATCTTCGCCTGATACATCTTCGCCATTCTGGGTTCACCGATACCCTTGACTCAAGTGGTCCGAGTCCTTTTCGCCTGAGACATCGTCGGAATTGTGGTTTCGGAGAGGCCCAGACCTGAGGTGGTCCAACCGTCCAGCCCATCCAGAAACGATGCCCAGGGGAGTCGAGGTGATCATGGAAGTGGGGGAGCATGCATAAGAACAAAGGGCGGGGGAAGCCGTCATATACCCTAAGAGGGGGAGGATGGAGGAGGAATCGTCGTCGTCGTCGCCGGAGGAGGAGGAGGAATAGGAGGAGGAAGAGGAGGATGAGGAGGAGAAGGAGGTAGAGTACGACGAGGACGAGGAGGACGAGAAGGAGGAGAAGGAGGAACAAGAGGGAGTGGTTTGTACCTCGGGGATCCTCATGAGGCCTCTTATGGGGCCTCTTGGGAGCCTGTTGGAGGCCTCTTGTGGCCATCTGGGCGCCTCTGGGGGCCCTCTTGGGCGCTCTCGGGAGCTTTAGGGGCGCTCTTGAAGCCATCTTGGAGGACATCGATCAACAAAGTGGGGAGCTTCGATTCGCCTCCCCCTCGGGAGCACCGAAACTCGCCTCCTGAACCCATCTTGGGGCGCTCTTGGGGCCGTCTTGTGGCTCTCTTTGGCCTCTCTTGGGGCTCTCTTGGGCCATCTTGGAGCATCTTGAGGCCTCGGATGGCTATCGGAAGCGAAAAGGCGAGAAAGCAAACAACATTGCTTTCCCTTAGGTGTTCGAAGGATTTGGGCTTCTTCTGGGCCTCCTTGGAGGTCTCGGAGGCCTCTTGGAGCCGTCTTGGAACGTTCTTGGGGCCTCTCGGAACATCTTGGGAGCCATCTTGAGACATTGCGCGCTATCTTAAGCCATCTTGGGGCTCATCTCGGACTTGCAGGGGCTCTCTTGAGCCGTCTTGGGCCATCTTGGACGCTCCAACGACTCGCCGCTCCCCCCGTCCAGGTTCAGGGGAGGGGTCAAGCTATCCACCCGCCCGCAAGCTGGATAGCTCACTCCCACCCGCTCTCCCAACACATAGGTAACACCCGAGCCTGAGCACGTTCAGCGGTGGTCTTTGGATGGGCAGTTACTGGGAACCAAAGCCGACCCCAGGTGCGCGACGCTGGGGCGAGGTGCGCCAAGCGTGCCAGGGGCGTCACGCGCGCCTGCACTCCTGGGGTCCGAGCGTGCCAAGCACGCCTGGTGCGCCAGATGCGCCACGTTCTCCGAGTGCGCCAGGTGTGCCGCACACTCCAGCCGCGCCATTTGCGATGTTCCTGGCACGTGCAGAGTGCGCCAGGTGGGCCTGTACACGTGACAGTACTCATCGGGAAACATGTCGGCCCCCGCCATCCTTGTCAAAAACCAAAGCCCATCATTGTGTCTGTTGGGTATGCGCACAGCAAGCCACGCGCCACCACCCCCGCCGTCCCTGTCAAAAAACACGTGGCAGTGATCGCGGGATGGCCGCGCATGATCCAGATTTAGCAGCGAAGTGCATGTTGTATTGTGTTTCCCCACATGTTTAGTGGGGTTCTGGTGTTCTTCCTTGCCGCGTCGCACCCGCGTCTCACCTCCCTCCTCTCCTCCCCTCCTCCTCTTCCTATCCTCACCCGCGCGCAACACAGTCGCAGCACGTGCATGATACACGCGTCTACATACAGCCGCACGCATGCACACACTCGCACACGCACACATTCACACACACACACACACACACACACGCACACGCACACGCACACGCACACGCACACGCACACGCACACGCACACGCACACGCACACGCACACGCACACGCACACGCACACGCACACGCACACGCACACGCACACGCACACGCACACGCACACGCACACGCACACGCACACGCACACGCACACGCACACGCACACGCACACGCACACGCACACGCACACGCACACGCACACGCACACGCACACGCACACGCACACGCACACGCACACGCACACGCACACGCACACGCGCACACGCACACGCACACGCACACGCACACGCACACGCACACGCACACGCACACGCACACGCACACGCACACGCACACGCACACGCACACGCACACGCACACGCACACGCACACGCACACACGCACACGCACACGCACACGCACACGCACACGCACACGCACACGCACGCACGCACACGCACACGCACACGCCACGCACACGCACACGCGCACACGCGCACGCGCACATGCACGCGCACGCGCACACGCACACGCACACGCACGCACGCACACGCACACGCACACGCACACGCACACGCACGCGCACGCGCACGCGCACGCGCACGCGCACGCGCACGCGCACGCGCACGCGCACGCGCACGCTCACGCGCACGCGCACGCGCACGCGCACGCGCACGCGCACGCGCTCGCGCACGCGCACGCGCACGCGCACGCGCACGCGCACGCGCACGCGCACGCGCACGCGCACGCGCACGCGCACGCGCACGCGCACGCGCACGCGCACGCGCGCACGCGCAACGCGCAACGCGCACGCACAACGCACACGCACACGCACACGCACACGCACACGCACACGCACACGCACACGCACACGCACAACGCACACGCACACGCACACGCACACGCACACGCACACGCACACGCACACGCACACGCACACGCACACGCACACGCACACGCACACGCACACGCACACGCACACGCACACGCACACGCACACGCACACGCACACGCACACGCACACGCACACACGCACACGCACACGCACACGCAGACAGACACAGACACAGACACAGACACAGACACAGACACAGACACAGACACAGACACAGACACAGACACAGACACAGACACATCCGTAGCCATTTTGGCTCAAGCCATTCGGCTGAGCTGGCTGCGCCCGGCGCCCCTTCTCCGGGGCTTCCCGTGCCCTGCGCAAATTCGCCCGCCGGCATGGAGCTGGAGGCACTGTTGTCCAGGTGCCCGGTGGCCGCCGCGGCCTTCGGCGCGGTGGCGGCGGCGCTTTGCGCGCCGAGCGCGCCCGGCCGCCAGGTGGCCATGGTGGCAGCCTCCGTGGTCGCGCCCCTGGCACGACGCCCCACGGAGCGCGTGGAGGTGAAGGCGTCCCGGTGTGTGGTGCGGGTGTCACGGCTGCGGCGCACATCAACATCCAGGAAGACCTCTTGCTGGCCGCGCAGGCGTCTTTGGGTCTGAAGCAGAAGCCAGGCGTATCGGACGTCAAGCGCGAGCTTCGGCGGAGAGGATGCAGCTCCTTAGCCTCGAAGTGCGGTCGACTCTCGAAGCTGCGGAACACCGAGGCCCACATGGCGGCGAGCCTCCCGGCGGCGGTGGCGGCTGCGCTGATGGGCTCGCCTGGGTCGCCCCAGCAGCGCGGCTCGGTGGGCCGCTTGGTGCTTGACGCGGTGTCCAGCGAGGAGTTTGCGACGGCCTCTGACTCCCAGCACGGCTCCTTGCCGCTGGAGAAGAAGCTTGTGTCGTCCCAGTCGCCGGCCTCGGACTTCCTGCACGACCCCGAGAAGCAGGAGGTAAAGTTGGAGGAGATCAAGTTGCTGGTCTCGGACGAGCAGTTCGTCAAGAGCGGCTGCGCCACGCCTGCCGCTGCCCGCTTGGGTGGGCGCATGGGCGGGGCCAAGTTCCCTGTGGAGGCCGAGGCGCCGACGGAGGCCGCGCCGCCCATGAAGCAGGCCTCAGCTATGGGAACCGCCGCGTACGACGAGGATGAGTGCCGCGAGACGACCAAGGGCCTCAGCGAGCGCCAGTCCTTAGTCCTGGCCGTCGTCGACGGCATCGTGGAGGGCAATGTCGATGTGTCCCTGTCTGAAGTCCTCAGGCTGCTGGACGGCATGGGAGTGCCTCATGTGCCCCAGGGACCTCGTCTTGTCAGGGACCGTGTCGCTCTCCTGCGGAAGCGTCGGGCCCTTCTGAGGTGCTCGTCTGAATGATTGCAGTTGATATGTTCGTCTTGTGAGGCCTTCTGTTCTGTGCAGTCTGCGCCCGCACGAGGCGAAGTGTCATGCAGTGATTCCCTCCTGTATTTGCATGGGTAGGTGCCAGGCCGCCTCTCGTTGGTTTGCGCGGATCCATCATGCAGTCGAGAATGTTGTCTTTATATTTTTTTTCAGCCTCCTGCTCTGCATTCTGTGTACATGCAGGAGTTGCCCCGAGTCGGAGGTTGAGGGTTTGACGTGTCGAGCGTGCTCTCGGGGCCGATGTGCCCTGGAGGTTTTGGTTCCGACGTCGTCGATGCTCTCTGGGCCGAAGCGCCCCCTTCGTGTCTTGGGAAGGCCCCTGTGGGCCGTGGCTTCTCAGTGAGGCCTTGGCCCACAGTGGGCTCCTTTTGCCTTTTTATAGGCCCCGCGTCAACAGACACAGACACAGACACAGACGCAGACACAGGCACAGGCACGTGCACAGGCACAGACACAGACACAGACACAGACACAGACACAGACACAGACACAGACACAGACACAGACACAGACACAGACACAGACACAGACGCAGACACAGACACAGACACAGACACAGACACAGACACAGACGCAGACACAGGCACAGGCACAGGCACAGACACAAACACAGACACAGACACAGACACAGAGACAGACACAGACACAGACACACACACACGCACCCCAACAACGCCAGTGCACGCATGGTGTGTTCACTGCATCATACACCCACGACGTATGCGCCACATACCGGGGACCCGCATGAGACACGCGTCCAGACACAGCCGCACATGCATCATACACATGACACGCACACCACACAACACATACGCGCAAGCTTCGCAGGGCGTGGCAAGCGTTGCATTTCCTCAACACCACAGGGGGTGCGCTGGAGGTGGTCTCCCTATCCGTTTCGGGTTCACAGAGCGTGGCAGGCGTGGCACTCCCTCGACACTACATGGAGTCCGCTGGGGGTGGTCTCCCTATCCGTTTCGGGCCTGCAAAGCGTGGCAGGCGTGGCAGTTCCTCAACACCACAGGGAGTCCGCTGGGGGTGGTCTCCCCGTCCGTTTCGGGCTCGCAAAGCGTGGCAAGCGTTGCATTTCCTCGACGCCCCAGGGGGTGCGCTGGGGGTGGTCTCCCTATCCGTCTCGGGCCCGCACAGCGTGGCAAGCTTGGCACTTCCCCGACACCACAGGGGATGCGCTGGGGGGGCGTCTCCCTAACATTCTCGGGCAAGCAAAGCGTGGCAAGCTTGGCACTTCCTCGACACTACAGGTGGTGCGCTGGGGGTGGCATCCCATCCGTTTCGGGTTCGCGAAGCGTGGCAGGCGTGGCCGTTCCTCGACACCACAGGGGGTTCGTTGGGGGTGGTCTCCGTGTCCGTTTCGGGTTCGCAAAGCGTGGCAGGCGTGGATGTCGTCGACACCACAGCGGGTGCGCTGGGGTTGGTCTCCCTATCCGTTTCGGGCTCGCAGAGCGTGGCAGGCGTGGCAGTGTATCGACACCAGAGGGGATGCGCAGGGGGTGGTCCTTCACCGCGGTGGCTATACACACCAGTCGTCCAGGCACAGCAGGCGTTGCATTTTCTCGACACCATAAAGGGGGTGCGCACGGGGTGGCCCCTCTCCGCGGTCTCTATACGCCCCAGTCGCTCATGCACAGCAGGCGTGGCCCTCTCTCGGCACCATAGGGGATGCGCAGGGGGTGGTCCCTCACCGCGGTGTCTACACGCATCAGTCGCCCAGCCAGGGCAGACGCTGCAATTTTTCAAAACCATAGGGGGTGTGCAGGGGGTGTTCGCTCACCGCGGTCTCTGTATGGCCCTGTCGCCCAGGCACAGCAGGCGTGGCCCTCTCTCGACACCATAAAGGAGGTGCGCACGGGGTGGCCCCTCACCGCGGTGTCTATACGCCCCAGTCGTCCAGGCACAGCAACCGTGGCACCCACTCTCTCGACACCATAGGGAGTGCGCAGACGTGGTCTTTCACCGCGGTCTCTATACGCCCGGTCGTGCAGGCACAGCAGGCGTGGCATTTTCTCTACACCATAGGGGTGCGCAGGGGGTGGTCTTTCATCGCGGTTTCTATACGCCCCATACGTCCAGGCACAGCAGGCGTGGCACTTTCTCGACACCATAGGGGGTGCGCAGGGGCTGGCCTCTCACCGCGGTCTCTATACGCCCGGGTCGTCCATGCACAGCAGCTGTGGCACTTTCTCGACACCATCAGGGTTGCGCAATGGGTGGTCCTTCACCGCGGCCCCTATACGCCCCAGTCGACGCGCGTCTAGACTCGTGCGCCGTTTTCCTGCCTACCTACAGCCCCGCTCTCTTCGTGGTCGCCATGGCTGAGACTGTTGTTCGCGCGGCGCGTCAGTCTCCCAAGGCTTGACCGGCGTCACCAACGGTATTGGCGGGGCAACGGCCACCAGCATCATTCTCGCGTGTTCCCTTCAGCTGTCATCACTCCAGACACAAGTTAAGTATGTGGGTTTCCTCGGTAGCGTAATTTGTCAAGGATGGTAGCCCTGTGCGCTGCAGGGAATATGCTGATACCCCCGCCGTCCCCATCGAAAACAAAACACATTGCTCGCGGGCCTCACGAACATGACTCAAGACTGTGGCCCAAAGTGTACTTTGCATTGTTTTTTAACAGGGATGGTGGGGGGAGGGGGCGCATCGGGTTGGCCGCTTGTGCCCCAAATGTGGAGGCAGAGCACTCTTTGAATTGTTCTTCACATCCAAAATGGCGTTTTTGTTTTTTGTTGGACACCCTCCGCGCAGGCTTCTCACCTCCCTCTCGCGTTCCGCCTCACTCACGCATTCACCCCGTCGTCGAACATCATCACCACCGGTCATCATCATGACCACCATCATCATCATATTCAAGCACCCGCCATCGATCTCCATCACCATCGGCCATCCATCATCATCAGCATCACCACCGCCATCATCATCATACTCAGTTGCGCATCGCACACACACATTATCTCTGTCGCTCTCATCAGTCAGCATCTGTTTCTCCGGACACCCCGCGCAGGAACTCGTCAGGCCTGAATATGGGGGAAATGTCCGGCGGGAGGCTCGTCCGTGAGTGAACTGTGAGGAAGTCTCAAGCGGGAGCCCCCTCGCCATGGGGCCCGCACTTCATGTTTTTGATCCGAGCGGATCATCCTCACCCCTGTAACTGTCGTCGCTCTTGGGCTCCTGAATCTTGAACATGGTGGAAGTATCAGGCGGGAGGCTTGTTTGTGAGTGAACTGCGGGGAAGTCTCAGGCGGGAGCCACTTTCCCGT